ACACCGGAACAAGCACAACAACGAATGCAAAGGAATCAACAAAGTGTGCTCGATTTTAACAAATGGAAACAGGAGGATAGTCAAGCCTTGGTTATACTTCAAGGCTCCCTGGAACCTTATCTTCTGCAGTCTTTCATTTCCCATGACACAACAAAATCGCTTTGGGAATCCCTGCAGAATGTTTACGGTAACCTTTCCAATGTTAGTCGAATTTTTGAGTTAAAAAAGAAACTTTTTCACCTACAGCAGAATGATCAGCCATTCAACAAGATTCAAGGCGAATTTTCTGCTTTATGGGCTGAACTTGAAGAAATTAGGCCAACTTCTATCGATCCACAAATCGTTATGGAAAGAGCTCAAGAAGACAAGGTGTTCTCCATTCTTACCACTCTTAATGCATCATTTAATGATCTGATTTATTATGTACTTCGACAACCTAAGCTTCCAACATTTGAAGAGGTATGTATGATGATTAAGAGGGAAGAGGGAGGTCGAAATTTATTCACCGGTCCTCATGAGCTTGCACATTACACTACAAAACCTACTGCAAATAACTATGCTCCAAGGGACAGAAAATCCTTTTATTGTGAGCATTGCAAACGTCAAGGGCACACCAAAGACCGCTGTTGGGTGGTTAATCCTCATCTAAAACCATCAAGGTATAAAGACGCTCCTCGTCGCGGTTCTGCAATGACCGCCGGTCATGATACCACTTCAAACGATGGAACCATCAGCCTCACAACTGATGAGATGAGAGGCCTTAAACAACTTCTTCAATCTCTCAACAAAGAGACTGGTAATCTTTCTATACTATCCTCTATTGTTATTGACTCGGGCGCAACAACCCATATGTTTTGTGATGCCAAATGGTTTGAGAGTATAACACCAAGTATTGGAGTGGTATCAGTTGCAAATGGTAAGAATGTTCCTGTCAAAGGTTTTGGTAAAATTCGACTTTTTAATCGTGATATCACAGCCTTATATATACCGGATTTTCATGCTAACCTTCTGTCCATTGCTAAATTTGTTGAAGAGAATCCTTGTCGTGTTATTTTCGATACTAATGGTGTCTCATTTCAGGATATTAACTCAGACCATGTGTTTGGAAATGGCACAAGGACGGGCAATCTCTTTTACATCGCATAATCTCATTCTAGTTTTTTCTCCGTTTCACCTAGTGTGTGGCATGCTCGCTTTGGACATCCACACTCTAAACTTTTACATTTACTTGTTCCCAACGTCAAGTCATTTGAACACATTTGTGAAGCTTGTACTTTAGGGAAACATTGTCGAACGGTTTTTCCGATTTCCTCTACTATCTATGAGCATGCTTTTGATTTAGTTCATTCGGATGTATGGACTGCTCCTTGCTTTTCTCGTGATAATTTCAAATACTTTGTGACTTTTATTGATGAAAAAACCAAGTATACATGGATAACACTTTTAAAACAGAAAAGTGATGTGTTTGGTGCCCCATCAGAACTCCGTAGTGAAGCGTGCTTGGGCGAGAGTAGTACTATGATGGATGACCTCCTGGGAAGTCCTCATGTTGCACCTTTTCTTTTCCTTTTGTCGTCGCATCTCGTTTCGATGTTCTGTCCGCACAGAATATTACAATAAAAGTAAGAATTATTTGGAGGTAAAAAACCCTGTGCGGACAGAATATCGAAACGAGATGCGACGACAAAAGGAAAAGAAAGGGTGCAACACGAGGACTTCCCAGGAGGTCATTCATCCTAGTACTACTCTCGCCCAAGCACGCTTCTTTGCGGAGTTCTGATGGGATCCGGTGCATTTGTGCTGGTATGATCGCACTGGTCGACTCTTGCGTTCACTACGTTTCATCTCTTTTCACCCGCTAGTCCATTCACGACCTTTCGCCATTCTTGACCCCGCAAAATATAGCCGCGAAATCTGAGTTCTCTGGTTTTTTTTCAACGGTTTGGTTCTCGTACCATTTCTGACTAGAACAAACAACAACAGAACAAACCCATGCCGAACAAACGAACATCGGTGGAACGAGATCCGTTGGAAAAAATGGCGCAACACGTGCAACCGGGTATTGCATTAGAATTTATCAAACAAGACAACGGTTATCGTCTCCGTTATCCCGAAACGAGGTGTGAAAAATAAAAAAATATCAATCAAATATTACAATAAAAGTAAGAATTATTTGGAGGTAAAAAAACCCTGTGCGGACAAAAGGAAAAGAAAGGGTGCAACACGAGGACTTCCCAGGAGGTCATCCATCCTAGTACTACTCTCGTCCAACCACGCTTCACTGCGGAGTTCTGCTGGGATCCGGTGCATTAGTGCTGGTATGATCGCACTCGTCGACTCTTGCGTTCACTACGTTTTTTCTATTTTAAATATAGCCACAAAATCTGAGTTCTCCGGTTTTTTTCTCAACGGTTTGGTTCTCGTACCATTTCCGCCTAGAACAAACAACAACAGAACAAACCCATGCCGAACAAACGAACATCGGTGGAACGAGATCCGGTGGAAAAAATGGCGCAACACGTGCAACCTCCCCATGCTCTAATAAGTGGGATTGCAACAGCTCTTTCCTAATATCTAGACCATACTTTATGTTCCATGCTTAGTTGCTTTTTTACTTTATTGTCTCCCCTACACCTAGCTCTTTTTCTCCTAGATGTTACTTTGTTGTCTCCCCAACAGCTAGTTTTTTTCCTATTTATATCTGATTTACATCTCATTCAATGTGACAAGTTGAATCCAAAAGAACTTCTCTCCATTCATCTATTTTCGTCACTCTATATTCAACCACTCTTTCTCCCATCTTTCATTCATTGTTAAGCACCAAATTTGTAGAAAATCTTTATGGTATCAAAAACATTATGCAAATAAGTTTTAGTATCTCCAAGGCGATCTTGAGGAAGAAATCTTTATGACTCCACCACCGGGTTACATGCATTCACTTCAAAAGGGACAGGTTTGCAAACTTCGCAAAGCTATATATGGACTGAAGCAATCTCCTCGAGCATGGTATTCCAAATTATATGATGCACTCATAGCCAAAGGCTTTGCACGCAGTGATCCAGATCACTCTCTCTTCACTTTCCAAAGTGAATCGGGTATCATCGTTCTCTTAGTTTATGTTGATGATATCATCTTATCAGGAAATGACATTATCGGTATTCAAGATACTAAAACTTATTTGCAGAATGTTTTTGACATTAAAGATCTTGGTATACTTAGATACTTTCTTGGAATCGAAGTTACACGTACTACTGATGCTTTGTTTTTGTCACAGCGTAAATACATTCTTGACTTACTAAAAGAAACAGGTAAACTCGGAGCTAAACCGGTGCGCACGCCTATAGAAGAGAACTTCAAGGATCAACGCGAGGGGGAATCATTCCAAGACTTGGAACAATATCGTCGCGTTGTAGGTAAGCTAATCTACCTTACAATTACACGTCCTGATATAAGCTTTGCTGTTCATCAGGTTAGTCAATGGATGCACTCTCCAACTACGACGCATTGGCAAATGGTGGACCGCATACTCAAATACCTAAAGGGAACACCAAACAAAGGCATATGGATGGAAAACAACAAGCATACCGAGCTCGTGGCCTATTGTGATGCTGATTGGGCTGGAGATAGGATGGATCGAAAATCAACAACGGGATACTGCACCTTTGTTGGAGGAAACTTGGTTACATGGAAGAGCAAAAAACAAACGGTGGTGGCAAGATCAAGCGCAGAAGCGGAGTACAGAGCTATGGCGAACACAACAAGCGAAATAGTGTGGCTCCAACAGCTATTAAAGGATCTTGGAGTCAAGACAGAAAATCCGACACCCTTACATTGTGACAATCAGGCGGCGTTACACATAACAGCAAACTCAGTTTTTCATGAACGGACGAAGCATATTGAGGTGGACTGTCATTTCATTCGAGAGAAGATCACACAAGGATTTATAGCAACAAAGTACACACGAAGCCAAGATCAGTTAGCATATATACTTACGAAGGCTACCAGCTCTTTTGTTCTTAACAAGATCCTCTCCAAGATTGGCCTCATAGAATTCCGCCGACCAATCTTGAGGGGGAATGTTGAAAGACAAGAGAACGACGAATGTGTTACGGGTGATGTTGAAATACATGATACAGTTGGAACGAAGACTAATTGTGAAGATTTGGAGGACATCGATCCTAAAGAGGATGGGGATGCTGCCAAGGAGGAAACTAATGAAGAAGAGGCAATCGAAGACGTGACAATGCCAATGATGCCGGAACCACCGCTTACAAGATCAAGGGCAAGGAGTTTTCGCACAAAGACAAATCAATTCGTCTCCAACATCATAGGAGGGCTGCTAGAGGAGTGGATTGGAGAATACAACACTTATTCTTGCAAAGGAGATCAAGAACCGGCGCTAATTGGAGAAACCAAGAGCATTTGCATTATCCAGCCAAAATCAGCCAAAACCGGAGATTAAACCAAACTAAACCAAGATCAGATGATTCTCTTCATGTGGAGCACGAAATTTCCTTTTCAAGACCACCTAGGAGAAGAAAGGAAGAGGATCAACACAAATGGCACTTTCCTTATTCGTTTCAACAGCTAGGAGGAGACTTGTTTCTTTCCTTTTCCTTATTTCCTTTACTTTCTTTCCTTTTTCCTTTGCTTCTGATGTGTCCAACGGCTAGGACAGATTTTCTCCTATTTCTTTACCTAATTTTCGAGTTTTCCTTAAGAATAAACAAGCTTGATCATTATAAAAGCTTGCTCATGTATTCTACAGAAGACAGACTTGAATAATAAGAATCTGGAAGTTTTTCTTTCTCCATTGCTGAGAAATCTGTTCTAACTCCTTCTCTCTTGCATTCTTGCATTAGGGTTCGACTTTTGGACTGTATCAAAGAGCTTTCACACTCTTTGTGGTGTCCCTCGCCTCCCCTTACCCATTCACGTTCCCTGGAAGCTAAACGAGAGCCCTTTGGCCTGTTTGCTTCTGTTTTCTTCCTTAAGCTTCGTTTTGACTTAATACAGTGGAGAGCAGCCCTTAGGCCTTCCATAGCAGTCAATACAAGGACGTAATAACACCAACAGACCCGTGCTTATATCATCTTTGGTATCAGAGCCTGGTTCAAGGCCACACGCAAGGTAACACTATCTTATTCGATTTAGTTCCTGTCGTTTCTAATCTGTGTGTGAGTTGTGTTAGAAAGATATGGCTGAAAACGCAGAAGACACTCAAGCTGCAATTCTGCAAGTTCTACAACGCCTAGATGAACGTTTAACACGTTTAGAAGAGGCACCACGAAGAATGCATCCCATTAGGTTCAATGTGCGGCCCAACAATGAAAATCCTGATCCGGATCCACCGGATGCTCAACCACGAAGGGTGCAAAATCAGAGGGCTCGTGAAGAAGGTGGCGATGAATCTGATAATTCTGTTCAGAATAGAAGGAGAAGAAACAATAGGCACCAAAGGCAAATTGAGGAAGAAAGTGCTGAAGATGACGTGCCTAGGAGACCACAAAGAGCTCCAAGGCACCAAGGTACAGATTTGAAACTCAAACCTCCTACTTTTGCTGGTAAAGTTAACCCTGAAGCTTATCTCGATTGGGAGAGGCGGATGGAGAATATTTTCGATTGCTATACATATACCGAACAGAGGAAGGTTCAATACGCGGCCGCTCAACTCACGGACGATGCACTTACATGGTGGGACCGAGAAGTAGCCGAAAGGAGACGTTCTCAATATGATCCAATAATCTCTTGGAGAGAAATGAAACATCTCATGAGAAAGAGGTATGTTCCACCACATTTCCCTAGGGATTTACATAGACGATATCGTAAGTTGGCGCAGGGGAACAGATCGGTTGAAGATTACTTTGAGGAGTTTGAACATCTAAGGAGCCGACTGGAAATAGAAGAGGATGATGAAACCGTCATGGCTCAATTCTTGGACGGACTTCAAGACCGAGTTGCTAGAAAGGTAGAAAGGCAAGTTTACCATGATTTACTTGATCTTTTGCATCTTGCTGTCCAAATAGAACAGCAAATAAAGAGGAAGCAAGCAAGCAATAGCCGACAACGCACACCGACCATGTGGAATCCGAATATTTCAAAGCCAAATGACAAGGGAAAGAACGAGGAGCGTGATGTACGCTTTAAAGGCAAAACAACAGAGACTTCAAAGGAATCCAGAAATGATGGTAACAAACAGAATTCAATTTCTAACGTCCGTTCTCGTGAGATAACATGTTTTAAGTGCAAGGGTCGAGGACATATGGCACGTGATTGTCCAAATCAACGTGTAATGATTATCACGGACAGCGGGGATTATGAATCAATGGACGAGGCTGATGTTGCA